ACAGAGTTTCACTAAGCTGTCCAAGTTGACCTTGAAGTGACTCTGTAGCCAGATTGGTCTGGATTTGTGATCCTCTTGTGCCAACCTCCTGGGATTGCAGGACTGGACTACAAACCAGGCTCCAAACATTTCATTTTTAAAGTGTAACTATAGCTGAGTGTGGTGTTGCCTGTCTGTGATCTCCAGCACTTGTGAGGAAGAGATGGAACAATCCAGGCTTAAGGCTAGCCTGGGTTACATAGTGAGACCCTGTAGACATAGCATAAAATTAAAATATGCTTCTGTTGTCATTACTGAAGTGTGTGTATGAATGCACGTGTTCGAGCATGTGTGGGAGCACATGCACATTACATATGCATGTGACTATGCAGATGTCAGAGCAGGACACAGAGTTTCTTCTTTTATCTCTGTCTACCTTAGTGTCTGGTGACATGTCTCTCACTGGCCTTCCAGTTTTCCCCTGGGCTGCCTGGCTGGCCAAAGCGCTCTTGATATCTGCCTGCCTCTTTGCCTGCCATGTCCCATACTGAGGTTATAGATACTCATAGCCATTCAGGATTTTTTTTAACCTGAGTGCTGGGTATCCCAACTCACGTCCTCAGGTTTGTGGAGGAAGTGCTCTTAGTCGTGGGGCCTTCTCACCAGCTCCCCAACCTTATTTTTTGAGGCAGGGTCACTGAACCTGGAGCTTTGTATTTGGGCTAGAATTATGTGGGTGCCGGGAATCCAAACTTAGGGCCTTACACTGCACAGCAAGCATTTTTTACTCAGTGAACTATCTCCTCAGTACCCCAATATTCAGTTTTTAAAGAATAAGGATATGTTAAACATTGTACAGGCCAAGACAGCTTTCAAGAGTGTTCACTGTTTGTCTGCAATTTGATTGACCTGGGGGACTGTGCTTGTGTTTGACAAACTTGGCAACAGTAACCCAAGATCCCAAGATCCTTAGGGTGCTGTAGGAGAAAGGCAGAGCCCTAGAGGTGGACACTGATGACTACAGTCAAAATCTGGCCTGTCCCAGGGGACTGGTTGGCCTTCTGGAGCAGAGCAAAGGTCCAAAGAAGGGGTCTGCACACCTGGGGTCTGCAAAGCTCTCAGCTCACATGAGCAGTTTCTGTCACTACCAAGAGGCCCTCTAAGGCCACCAGACTTAACTGGAAGAGAGACCGTCCAGCTTCTATGATCACTTCTGATCCCAAAGTTCCTCCCCATGTGCCTCCCTTATGAGGGGTTTCAGCCCTTCCCAAGCCTGGGCATTCTAGCCCTGAGTGGGTTAGCTCAGACCAAAGTGAAGAGCAAGAGACATGGGTAAGGAAGATCAGTGAATCTTCTAAGTAGATAAGCCACAGGAGGTGGGCACAGCCAGGGCATGCTAAGGAAGCCCAGGAGCCATAACCCTACTCACCCCTGATGATGTCCTGGATTTCCACCCTGCCCTTAACCTCTGATTACCTTGTGTCTCTGAAGAAAGGGAGACAAAAGGGAAGGCATTAAGAGAGAGCTAGAGCCAATTCCTCACCTCCAGAGTTGACCAGGCAGCTGTGTGGAGGCCTGCGGATTGTGGAGACAGTGAAGAAGACAGAACAGAGTCGAGAGGATGGCCAGTCAATGCCAGACAGTGACTGAGTTGATTTCACAGCCAGCTTATATACAAACTTGAAGGGCAGAAGTAGAACAGTGCATAGCACAGGCATTCAACCATTGTCTACCCTGTCCTTGGGTCAAGGAGCAGGCAATTTCATTTTCTATCTTGATGTACCTCCCAGATGGATGTCAGCAGCCTGAGGCCAGCAGCAGCAGCCTGTGTCTAGCTAGACAGTGTGTTCCTTCCCATGGGCTAATCAGGACTTTCTCACAGCCCTGGAGCAAGCAAGCCTGAACTCTAATGACTCAGAATAGACTTCAGATTCAAACTGGGAAACTGAGTCACTATGGGCTCCCACAATTCGTCTTTTTTTAATATTTGAGTTGAAGCAGTGGTAGTCTAGATTGTATATCCTTTTTTATTGATTACATAGGCTGATTTTCCATTAGATGAGCCATTAGTAGAAATCAAAGCAGCATCTTTTATTGGAATTTGTATTATTATTTTAGGGAAAATTAAAAAATGTATCTGTGCAAAGTGTAATAATTTACCAGCAGGAAAATGATTATCAATTTGACCTAAAACTTGAGCAAAAGCAATTGCCAAGAATCATTATTTTGAAATAGCCAATCAATTTGTTGTTGAGTGAATGGCATGTTAATAATCTCAGGCTCTTTGCCAAAGTATTTTTTAGATTTAATTTGACTCTTTTGTATTAGACATGTTACAGGTTGTTAATATAAATTGAACATTTTAACTGATGGAAGAGGAAGATGAAACCATAAAGGAGGACTGTTTTGTCATAATATTGCTGTAGGAGTAAGTCTGGTGGTCAGGATATATGTTTGTCAAGGTTAATCCTAATGAATGTAATGTATTTGTTGATACCGAATAGCATTTTCAACCTGTGAAAAAAACATGTCTTTTTTTTTTTTTTTTTTTGGTTTTTCGAGACAGGGTTTGTCTGTGTAGCTTTGTGCCTTTTCCTGGAACTCACTTGGTAGCCCAGGCTGGCCTCGAACTCACAGAGATCTGCCTGGCTCTGCCTCCCGAGTGCTGGGATTAAAGGCGTGAGCCACCACTGCCTGGCCCTCTCTTTGTTTTTTTTTTTAATTAATTGTCTAGGCTAATTAGGATCATTATCTCTTGTTAAAATATTACATAAAGGTTCTAAATCATCTGTAGATAATTTTTCAATAAAATTGTAAACATTGAATATCCCTTAATAACTTCTGAAAATTATTTAAAGTTTTCAACCTATCTTTTTTTTTTTTTTTGGTTTTTCAAGACAGGGTTTCTCTGTGTAGCTTTGTGCCTTTCCTTGATCTTGCTATCTAGACCAGGCTGGCCTCGAACTCACAAAGATCTGCCTGCCTCTGCCTCCGGAGTGCTGGGATTAAAGGCATGCTCAACCACCAGCCAGCCTCAACCTATCTTTTTATCTTCAACTGTTGAGGCTTTAGCTTTTTTGGGGGATATAATATATAATTTAAATATTGAAAAGGCAGAATCTTCAGCTATTTTTTAAATTAAATACCAACCAGAATTAACCGGATATGGTTAAATCTCCAACATATCTTATAGTTTTTCTTTGAAGTTAGTATAGTTCGTATCTCCTTTGGCCTTCTGAAATGTTCATGTATCTTTAGGCTAGGCCTTTTTCTATGTTCTTTTGGATCAGCTAGACATAAACAATTTTTTTTAATTTTAGTCTTTTGACTTCTCTTGCTTTTTAGAATACATGCAAATTTTCATCAAAGTCCTTTTTCTTGTGGTTTCTTTCCAGCAGTTTAGAACATTGTATAGGTATAACATTTCAAAAAAATAGAATCATATAAATATATATGCATATACCATAATAAAAACTTACATTTGCATGAAGATATAAAAATCTGAATCAATATGAAACATTTGAGATTAGTAGCACTTTTTTTATCTTAATCAATGAAGGGGTCCAACCCTGTTTTAATATGGGGATGAGAGCATGTTTATGTGTTTTCACAGGAAGAAAATGAAGCTCATTGGCTGCCTGAGGGTTTAGTATGATATATGGAACAGAGAAATTGCTGGTCCTGATGTTGCTGATGGTCATCCAGAGGTGCCAGAGTGATGAGACCTACTGGCCCTATATTTCTGATCCTCCTGTGTTACATCCTGTGATTTGGGAAGGAAGGGAGATTGTGGTCACAGTCAATGATACCCGGTGATTAGATCAACTTGCCATTCAAGAATTCCTGATTGCTCAAAATTTTTGTTATTTTGGATATGATAAAAGAATTCATTTATGTTTTTCAAAAGAAATACTACTTTAGATGGATGTCTTGGAAAGTTTTCAAAACAAATAATGGGGCATGATAAACTATGTACTGGTTTTACAAAGTTATTGTTTCCCCAAAGTAATTGGGGAAGTAATATTTTACCCCTTCAATGATTTCCTCCATGCACAAAAGAATTATGAGAGTCTAACAGAACTTTGTTATGGCAGAGATGTACAGGCATTGTTCCTTTAAAATACAAAATCACAGGGACACAACAATATATTCTTGACTGGTCTGGAAATCAAGATGATTATACTGACGCTTATCCTATGTCTACAACTGAATCTTGGGACCAAGGACTGTCAGCTGGAATTTGGTATTCCAGTACAGGATTTCACAAACTTATGTTGGAAACTTGCTCCTGCCATGGAAACAATGACAGGACATTCCAGTTCATCAAAACCCATTTGTCGCCAGGCATCAGTGGTGCATGCCTTTAATCCTAGCACTAGGGTGGCAGAGCCAGATGGATCTCTGTGAGTTTGAGGCCAGCCTGGACTACAGAGCAAGAACCGGGACAGGCTCCAAACTATACAGAAGCCATATCTCGAAAAACTGTTGGACCCCAAAATCTAGGGTCTCGTGTGGGCGCCCCAAGAACCCAGACTCAGGTCCAGTTGATGCAACAGCAAGAGGTGTTTATTGAAGAAGTAACTGTACAGACAGGCAAACTCTTGTCCTGAGAGCAAGAGCTGCATCTTACTGCAGCCCCATGGGGGCTTTCAAAGGAAAAACCCACAAAAGCCATAAGATTACAATTCCCATACAATTTCGTTTCACAAGATCATGGTCTGATCACAGAGTGGGTACAGTCACATCCACATGTACATTCTTCCTGAAACCTCAAGGCGGGTATCAGGGCAGGAGTGGAGTTTACACAAAGGTCATAGTGATCCTTCCTGGAACACTTGCAACTATCCAAGTTACAGTTGAGCACATCTCTTAACAGGAATCTTTTTACATTGTTACATTGTTACAGGTTGAATAATGGCTGAGTCAGGCTGCCCTTGGAACTAGATTTTTAGTTTCTCATTTCCTGGGGCTTGTGGGGTGTAAGCCTGAAGGGTTAGGGTCTTTCAAAACCAAAAAACAAAATGGCGCCCAAGCAGGACCCAAAGCCCAAATTCCAGGAGGGCGAGCGAGTGCTGTGCTTTCATGGGCCTCTTCTCTATGAAGCAAAGTGTGTAAAGGTTGCCATAAAGGACAAACAAGTGAAATACTTTATCCATTACAGTGGTTGGAATAAAAATTGGGATGAATGGGTTCCAGAAAGCAGAGTACTCAAATACGTGGACACCAATTTGCAGAAACAGCGAGAACTTCAAAAGGCCAATCAGGAACAGTATGCAGAGAGCAAGACGAGAGGAGCTGCTCCAGGAAAGAAGACATCTGGTCTGCAACAGAAAAATGTTGAAGTGAAAACAAAAAAGAACAAGCAGAAAACACCTGGAAATGGAGTTGGTGGCAGTACCAGTGAGACACCTCAGCCTCCTAGGAAGAAAAGAGCCTGGGTAGATCCTACAGTTGAAAATGAAGAAACATTCATGAACAGAGTTGAAGTTAAAGTAAAGATTCCTGAGGAGCTGAAACCATGGCTTGTGGATGACTGGGACTTGATTACCAGACAAAAGCAGCTTTTTTATCTTCCTGCCAAGAAGAATGTGGTTTCCATTTTGGAGGATTATGCAAATTATAAGAAATCACGAGGAAATACAGATAATAAGGAGTATGCTGTTAATGAGGTTGTAGCAGGGATAAAGGAATACTTCAATGTAATGCTGGGCACTCAGCTACTGTACAAATTTGAGAGACCACAGTATGCTGAAATTCTTGCAGATCACCCTGATGCACCCATGTCCCAGGTGTATGGAGCACCACATTTACTGAGATTATTTGTGCGAATTGGAGCAATGTTGGCCTATACACCTCTAGATGAGAAAAGCCTTGCTTTATTACTAAACTATCTACATGATTTCCTCAAGTACCTGGCGAAGAATTCTGCAACTTTGTTCAGTGCCAGTGATTATGAAGTGGCTCCTCCTGAGTACCATCGGAAAGCCGTGTGAGGGGTGTGCTCACTCTCACACGTGCTTGGATCTCTGTAAACAATTTGGTTCTTAGTCCTTCTCTTGTACAAATGATGTACTTTGAAGACCGTTAGTGTATAACAGAATTGATGTTTGTTTTCTGTTTGATTTTAAACAGAGAAAAATAAAAGGAGTGCCTGCTCCTTTTTTCTTTCTTTTTTCATTTCAAAGTTTCTACCAGTGTATTCAGTGATGGACAACAGAGAGACATGCTGTAGAGTGTTTTATTGCCTAGTTGACAAAGCTGCTTTTGAATGCTGGTGGTTCTGTTCCTTTGACACTACGCACTTTTATAATATGTGTTAATGCTCTATGACAAAATGCTCTGATTCCTAGTGCCAAAGGTTCACTTCAGTGTATATAACAGAACACTCATCCATCTGTGCTCTTTTTTTTTTTTAATGGTGCTTAAAGAGCCCATCCTTTGCAAGTCATTCATGTTGTTCCTTAGGCATTTTATCTTTGCTTAATTGTTAAAGAATGGTAGCTTGTTTCATGGTTTTTGTATTTGTGTCTAATGCACGTTTTAACATGATAGACGCAATGCATCGTGTAGCTACAGTTTTATGGAAAAGTCAAATCTTGTAGGAATTGTTTTTCAGATCTTCAATAAATGTTTCTTTAAATTTCAAAAAAAAAAAAAACCAAAAAACATTAAAAAAAAAAACCTGTTTGCCCTTTGATTGAGACAGTTTCAGCTTATGTTACATTGCCCTTTGTCTTTTTAGTTGGAGAGGTAAAAACTTTTATAAATAGTTCTATGTTTACTATATCATGTTTTAATTGCATTTTGACTAATTATATTTCTCAAATAGACAGTCATACTCATATAATAATGTTAAAACAACCTTCTTTTATAATAAAGACAATATATATAAATGATCCATGATTTGATGATAAATGGTTACAAATGATTTAAAAAGCTTTAGATAGATAAGAGCATGCTGTTGGATTACTTATAGCAGAAATTGCAGCCCTTGTTACCATGCTTGCTACTACTATGATTGTTTCTACTATGCACTACTAAGGCTTTGTCTCAGTCCATTCAGACAGTGGGTTTTGTTAATCAGTTATCTAAGAATGTTTCTATGACATTAAAAACACAAAAAGATATAGATATAAGAATGGAACATAAATTGAATGCCGTATATGAGATGGCACAATTTTAGGGAGATGAGCTCCAAAGCCTAAAACTAGAATACATTTAAAATGCTAATAATGAATGGAATTATATTACATCTTCTATATATAATGAAAATGTTGTTGGATGGGAAAGTGTTAAGGCACATATTAAAGGAATTTGGCACGATTATAATGAATCTTGAGATTTGGCTAAATTGCATCAAGAAATTACAAAAATAAAAAAGGCTAAATTAGATTTTGATATGGCTAAAACAGCTGAGAAATGTTGGAACAATTTAAAAAGTCTATTCCATCATGCTCACCATTTACTTCACTCTCAAGTTACATTATGATTATTGGGATATATGTCTTAATAGGATTAATCTGTTTGACAATGGTTTTCAAGCTGATTACAAACTTGCTATGAAAATTGGGCTCAGAACTTCATGGAGTAAAACTCCACATATTCCCCTGACTTATGATACCAGAGGATGACAACCAAAGACAGGAAAGGTTTTTTTTGCCCCCTTTCAACCAACATGAATGATGGAACTCATGCTCCCATGATGGGTAAGATTGGAGTGTGGTAAGGAAACACCTAAGACAGGCACAGTCATCTAAGGACTCAATGGAGTCTTAAAATAACTAAAAAAGGAGGAATTGCTGGAGCCCACAACTGACTTAGTTTCCCAGTTTGAATCTGAAGTCTATTCTGATTCAATAGAGTTCAGGCTTGCTTGCTCTGGCTGGCAAGAATCTTACCCCAAATGCAATTCCAGGGTCACTTGGAGACTCTGCCTAAGAAAAATAAAATGGTATACCTGGGAAAATGGCAGAGAAAGTAAGAAAGAGCATTTGCTCTGCAAACACGAAGACCTGAGTTTGGATCCCCAGAACCCATGCAAAAGGAAGATGGAGGGGACTGTGAGTTAAGCACTGGGGCAGCAACAGGAACATCTCAGGAGCTCTTGGGCCAGCCAGTCTAGCTGCAACACTGTCTCCAAGCAATAAGGCAGAGAGAAAGATAGTCAGTGCCCTGCTCTAGCCTCTACAGGATCGAAAACATGAATCACAGACAGTCAGAGGGAAAGACACACACCACCACCATCACCACCACCTGGGCTATGGGTTCTGTAGAACTGTTTTTTGATGATGTTCTAATTAATCTATAAAGCACAGCAAAAATTAATGAATGCTTGGGTTGTGAACTATGGAGTAAAGGGGTAGCTGGACATGGATCTTAATTAAATATAGCAGAATGAGCTATTTTTTAAGACCTCAAGCCCCTAGATAAGGAAAGTATAATAGTTCAGGCACTTCTAGGGAATGAACACTCACCCACTAGGAATCCTTTAGGAATCCCAACTAAAGTGATTTATGGCAGAAAACGTTATCTCATAGGAGGCAGATGGTGGGCCCCTCTGTTGAGGAAGTTCAGCATGGGAAACTTAAGGACTACAGCAGAACTCTTTCCCCTTACAGGCGTAAAAGTATAAGAGTCCATATTCCAACAGGTAAAAAGGTTTTGTATTAGAAGAGATATATGGTGAAAAACTGAAGAAAGACTTAGAGAGGTCTGCAGCATCCAAATTGGCTAAGTGGGTCATGAGAACCAGAAAAGTAGAAGTGCATAATAAACTAGATAAGATGAAGGACACAGCTGCAACCACAAAGAAGTCTACACTAGGGACTGTACTAAGTTTAAAAAACACAAACTGCCCTTTGGGTCATAAAGTTCTTGTGGGTGAAGGGATATGTCTAGCGCTGATTAATAATTGTGCGCTTGCTTTTTTAAAAAGATGATGTAATTGAATTATTGCCAAGCTCTTGTTGATTCCTGTATGACTTGATAGTTTTCTTTTCTGTATATAAACTACTGATTTGCAGAAGCAAAATTGCAGCAGATTCAAACCACTTCTGAGTGTGTTGTCTGTCTGTCATTTGCCGAATCCTTGCCTCCCTGGCTACCCAAGCCCTGGTCCTCCTACAGTCGTGGTATCCCCGATGGGCCAGTCCGTGGCAATTCCCAATCTCAGTTTGATCCTCTCAAGTTCCTACCCATCTAGTTCTTCCATTCTCCTTTCTCTTTTCCGTCCTGTGCCCTGCAAGTCCCGGTATATAAAGGGAGGGTCCGAGCTAAATTGTGTAAAGCAATTGCTTAACGTCCACCTCTCCTAGGCGGTGTCTCCTTGTGGAATTTAAGTCAGGAGACTTGCGCGTGGGCTGTTATCATTGTTATCCTCGGAAGTTGGGCGCCCACCTGGGTGATATTTCCTTGAAGGTGGCTAAGGGAGATATCTGATTCCAGAGAAAGCCTTTCCCAAGGCTGTTCTCCAAATACCTGGAATGTGTATGTCCAGAGAGTGATCAGTCCACACTGTTAGCCCTTCTTAGGGAAAAGCCAATTGGGAAAACTATGAAGGCACACATGATTTTCATAACAGAAGACAGCTGATATATAACAAGCCAAGTAACACCAAAAACTCCTTGGGATTTGGCTTCCTCTGGAGGAATTCCCTGAATCCTCCAGATAGTGACTTTGCCATAACCAGCTGAGTTCTTATGATATATTCCTGCCGCCTGCAGCACTGTACCTCTCCACTTTTTGGACCTACACCTGTGCACTGAGTTAGGGTTTACACAGAAAGACCCTTGGTCAACTCAGCAGGCCTGAGGTCCCCAGAAGGAGGCCAGCATCCAGCCACTGCCTGTCTCAAAGCAACTCGGGGTCTGCAGGAAGAGCTCAATGTGTGTTGACCAAGCTGGCAGGGCCTGGCTTTGCAGTGGTCCCATGTAACTGTATTTGAGCAGGTGCCATTGTCTCTTGTTCCTCTCCAGACCCTCCCATTCTCCAGCCACCTCTTCCCTTCCCTTCCCTGTCCTGGTCACTATCCTCCCTCATAAAGCTAAGCTGCCTGAAATGCATCTCCTAAGCAGTTGGGGATTAAATCTAAGGCCTCATGAATGCTTAGCAAGTACTATAGCACTGAGCAATATATTTAGCTTGCATTTATTTAGTTATTAGTCATGAATAAATGAATGAATGAATGAATGAATGAATGAATGAATAAGAGAGACAGGGTCTCACATAGCCCTAGCTGGTCTACAAGGAAGAATTGCAAGCCTGCTTAGCATAGAAAGTAAATTTCATCAAGCCAAGCTGAGGAGTTCACCAACACCAGTGCTAGTCAGCAGCTAAGTGGACTACTGCCATGATCAGGGGAGGTCTCCAGCCAATTCCCATGGCTTCCTCTCTCTCTCTCTCTCTCTGCAAAATGGCAGGTACACACTTTGCAGAATTTTTAAAAAATGAGTCTCCTAGATACCCCATTTTAGATATAATACCTCCCAGGGTAAGTTAATGGGAATCATGTATTTTAAGTCAATGAGTGTAAATTTGAAGATGCCCATGCAGCTGTGACAGATATGGCCGTCTTTGCGAGGTGTGTAATATGACGTTAACATCAAGGGAAGTTTTCAGAAGGGGGTGATCCAAATAAAAGGAATGCTGTGGATATCGTTCTGTATAAATAAAACACTGATTGGCCAGTGGCCAGGCAGGAAGTATAGGCTGGACAAGGAGAGAGGAGAATTCTGAGAAGTGGAAGGCTGAGGGTGGGAGACACTGCCAGCTGCCGCCATGACAAACAGCATGTAAAGATGCCGGTAAGCCACGAGCCACATGGCAAGGTATAGATTTATAGAAATGGGATAATTTAAGATATAAGAACAGTTAGCAAGAAGCCTGCCACAGCCATACAGTTTTTAAATAATATAAGCATCTCTGTGTTTATTTTGTAAGTGGACAGGACCTGGAAAAAAAAAACTCCAACTACAAAGGAATTTTTTCCACCCCAGTTAAATGTATTCCCTGACTTTTGTCCACCAATTCCAGGCTACTAGAACCTTTGATAAGCATCTAAAATGAAATAAGCTGGTCTAGGTGTCACAGGCCTGTAATCCAAGCTACTTGGGACACTGAGGAAGGACTCAGAGTTCACAACCTGGCTAAGGAACTTTGCCTCCAAAAATTTTTAAACATGTTCATGTTTAGCAGTTTAAAAAATATTTGCTAATTTTTATTTTTTACATGCACGTGTGTTTTGCCTGGGTATATGTCTGCCT